ATGAGAACCAAAATATTATCTCGAATCTATCCATTTGAATTTTGAAATCGTCTTAAGAATAGGTTTCAGGCATTGAATACCAATGATAGAAGACGAGATGAGTTATGAGATGATATCAAGGCTATTATCCATGTTGGGGGAAAAAAGATAATTACAAAGACAGAGGAGAAAGGAAAAATCTAAACAAATGCTAGAAGAGATTCTAAAAATTACACTGAAGCATCAATAAGCCAAACCAAAAGGAAAAAATTGCTTAAAAAAGGGTTGAACAGAAGATTTCAAAGGGCAAGTTGGGAAGACAAAGCCAAGTATTATAATGGAACGTAAAGAGAGCTTGAATTGAAGAATAAAAAGTTGAGAACTCATTCTGCATTTCTCATGCTGAAAAAGAACTTTAAATTTAAAGTAACAGTATTTAAAGATGCTTATTGGCAATATATTGACTGACCCAGAAAGCACCAAAGAAGATAGAGGGAATACACAGGATCACTGTACGAAAAAGAATTGACTGGCACTGAAAAATTTGAGGATGTACCCTATGAGCAGGATCCAATGAAGGAGGAATCTAAAGTTGCACTGGAGGCATTGGCAAAAATATAGGGCCCCAGGAATTGATGGGATACCAATTGACTTGTTACAATTAACACATGCAGCCCTGTGTGCATTCATGAGTCTATGCTAGCAAACTTGGAGAATAATCACCTGGCAAAGGATTGAAAAAGGTCCATATTTGTTTCCATTCCCAAAAAGGGGATCCAAAAGAATGTGGAAACTATTGAACAATATAATTAGTATCACATGCAAGAAAAACACTACTGAAGATCATTAAAAAATGGCTAGAAGAGTACACAGCTAGGGAACTGCAAAAAGTTCAAGTAGGATTTTGAGAGATACTATTCTATAAATTACAGAATTTCTGGAGTATAGAATTCAACTATGCTAAGGACTTCATTATTTGGTTGAAATATATCAATTGGTATTCCACCAGCTTCTGATTTTTTTCCAGAAAGTATTAAAAGAAGATGGGAAGAATATATTAAGTCATTGTATTGAAAGGAATTGGCAGACACAGAAGAATTTCATGAAACAATATATGAGCAAGAGCCTATGCTGATGAAGGAAGAAGTTCAGGCTGCTTTGAAGGAAATGGCAAAAATTAAGGCCCCAGTAATAGATGGTTTACCAATTGACATATTTCAGCTAACAGATGCTGCCCTGGACGTGCTCACCGAGTTGTGCCAAGAAATCTGGAAAACAACCACTTGGCCAACTCATTGGAAGAGATCTATATGTGTTCCCATCTCAAACCAAAGTGACCCAACAGAGTGTGGAAACTATAGAATGATCTCATTGATTTCACATGTAAGCAAGATTCTACTGAAGATTATCCAAAAATGACTGGAACAGCACATTAGCAGTGAACTGGCAGAAGTTCAGGCTCGGTTTAAGAGGGGTTGTGGTCCTAGGGATATTGTAGCTGATGTCAGATGGATCTTAGCTGAAAGCAGGGAATACCAGAGGAAAGTCTATCTGTGTTTCATTGATTATGCAAAGGCATTTGACTGTGTGGATCATAACGAACTGTGGCGGACTCTGAGAAGAATGGGAATCCCAGAACACTTGATAATGTGAATGGGAGACCTATACCTGGACCAAGAGGCAGTCATCAGAACAGAGCAAGGAAACACTGTATGGTTCAAAATTGGGGAGGGCATACATCAGGGATGTGCCCTATCTCCATACCTTTTCAACCTGTATGCAGAACAGATTATCCGGGAGGCTGGGCTCTATGAGAAGTGTGGTGTCAGGATTGGTGAAGGATTCATCAACAATCTGCCTTAGGCAGATGACACAACCCTGCTTGTTGAAACTGAGGAGGACCTGAAGCGCTTGCTGTAAAGGGTCAAGGACTGCATCCTCCAATATGGATTCAGGTTCATGTCAAGAAGACAAAGATTCTCACCACTGGACCAATCGGTAGCATCAGGATGGATGGTGAAGAGATTGAGATTGTTCACAGCTTTAATTTGCTTGGCTCCACAGTCAACAGTCTTGGCACCAGTAGCCAGGAAATTAAAAGACATATTGCAATGGGAAAGTCTGCTGTTAGGGGCCTCTCTAAAGTACTGAAGAGCAATGGTGTCTCTCTGGAGACTAAGGTGCGTCTGATACATTCCACAGTCTTTGCTATCACTTGTAATGCATCAGAGAGTTGGACAATGACTAAGGAAGATAGAAGGAGAATTGATGTCTTTGACCTATGGTGCTGGAGTAGAGTATTGAGGGTACCATGTATTGCTAGGCAAACAAACAGATTCATCCTGGAAAGGGTTAAACCGGGCGGCTCCTTGGAGACAAGGATTCTGGGGCTTTGTCTGACATACTTTGGACATGTTGTAAGGAAGGACTGGTCCTTGGAGAAGGACATCATGATTGGGAGGTTGGAGGGACAGTGCAGGAAGGGAAGGCCCTCTATGAGGTGGATGGATTCGGTGACTGGGATTATCAGGATGGGAATGTCAGAGACAGTGCGATTGGCACAAGACAGAGCAGAGTTTAGGGCTGTTGTACATAGGGTTGCTATGAGTCGCAAGCGACTCGACAGCACATACCAACAACAACAACAACTGTAATAACTGAGCAACGAATAACTCTTTCTGATACAGTTTCTCTGTGTATTCCTCCCATCTTCTTTTGATGCTTCCTGTACCATTCAATCTTTAATCTGTAAAATTTTTCTGTATGGAATCCCATACTTGATTTTTCACCCTCAGTTCCTTCAGCTTGAGCAATTTGCAACATTTTCTTCCCTTTTTGTTTTCTAATTCCAGCTCTTTAGACATCCTATCATAATATTTTGCCTTATCTTCTTGAGCCGTCCTTTGATATCTACCCTTCAACTTCAATTCACTTCTTTTTAATTCACTTTGGTTCAATTCACTTTTTTACTTTGTTTTGCTTTGAGTTGGGTTTTTTTGCCACTTTTGATGAAACTTTTTTTAACTGTTTAAAAACTTACATTAGTTCTTTGAACTAATTTAATTCTTATCATAGTTTTATATATAAAATTTCTGCAAAATTATCCCTCATAATGACTGTCCCAGGCATGTTGAAGAACAGTGACTCTGATTTGTCAGGCATCAATGAAGTATTAACAAGAAGGTAATTTTTTTCCCCTCTGAAAATTATTATTGTTGTTGATTACCTTTGAGACGAGAATGACTCATAGTGACCCTATGAACAAAAGGCCTGAAGCCTCTCTGTAACAATTGACATTTATCAAAGTTCATAGAATTTCCAGAGGAATGTAATTTAGGAAGTGTATGCCACTCCTGCTAAAAAGAAAATAGACTGTCTTAATAATAATGGGATGCAAAAGAAATAGAAGCAAAACAAAATTAGAAGTAAAGCAATATTGAATAAGGAAAAATCAAAGAAAAATTAAAACAGTGTTACCCATATTAGGAGGGTGAACTCCATTATAAGGGAAGACTTTGCTGACTGCATCCCAGTAGTGCACTAAGCAAATCCCTGGAATTGGTGTCATTAGACCTAATTTTGGAATAGAGCATTTGTTAGAATTGGCTAGAGTAAGTGATAGAAAATAAGAAACATTATGAAATCAGTTATATAGAAAAGAAAAATTATTTTTAATACATTAATTCTCAACTTCTGTCTTCCAAATTTAAATGGATGAGTTCTGAAGCACAATGGTGCTTTATGTATGCAATGATAATATCCTTCTGAAAGCAGAATATAGATACATGCAAGAATTGAAGTTATTTCAAGAAAAAGTGCAACTGTAGGACAAAGCACAGGGGTGAAATCTGGCCTAGTGTTTAGTCTTTGAGAGAAACTTTGTCTGGGATATCAGATATATGAATAGAAGGAAGGATAAAATGTAGCTGAAGGAGAGAAAATACAAATAGAGAAGACTATTTTTTACAAAAGGAGTACATGAAATTATAAGTCAGACAGAATTGTATGTTCCAGAAATAGCAATGTACTAATTCCTTTCAACTGAAAGGATTACTTACACTCTAGAAAGGCAAACTATGATGAATAGAGATATGATCTCACTTAGAGTCACAGATCAAGAGAAATAAATACAAAAAAGCCACCATATATGTATAAAGGCATTTGACTGTGTGGATGACAACAAACTTTGGCTAACTTTAAGAAGAATGGGAATCCCAGAACACTTGATTGTGCTTATGTAAAACCTATACTTGGACCAGAAGGCAGTTAGCAGTCATCAGAACAGAACAAGGAAACTGCATGGTTTTCAATCCAGAAGGCTGTACACCAAGGATGCATCTTACCTACATACCTTTTGAATCTATATGCTGAACAGATCATCTGGGAGTCTTGGCGCTATGACAAGGAACGTGGCATCAAGATTGGAAGACTCATTGAGAACCTGCATTATGCAGATGACACAACCTTGCTTGTTGAAACTGAGAGAGCCTGAAGCACTTGTTGCAGAAGGTGAAGGACTGCAGCCTTAAATATGGATTGAAGCCCAACACTAAGAAAACAAACATTCTCACTACTGGACCGATTGAAACCATCATGATAGAGGGTGAAGAGATTGCGATTTTTAATGTCTTTCATTTGTTTGGCTCCACAATCAACACTCATAGTACCAGCAGTTCGGAAATCAAAAGACAAATTCCGTTGGGAATATCTGCTATCAGAGACCTCTCCAAAGTGCTGAAGAGCAACGATGTCAGTCAGGAGACTAAGGTCAGCCTAATACAGACCATGGTCTTTACAATTGTGTGCTATGCATGAGATAGCTGGACATTGACTAAGGATAACAGAAGAACTGATGCCTTCAAGCTGTGGTGCTGGAGAAGAGTATTGAATATACTGTGTACCACCAGGAGAACAAACAGATTCAACCTGCAGAGTGTGAAACCAGGAAGCTTCTTGGAGGCAAGGATTCTGAAGGTCGGTCTGACATACTTTGAGCATGTTGCAAGTAGGGACCATCCTTGGAGAGGAACATCATTCTGAGAGAGTAGAGGGATAGATCAAGAGAGGAAGACCCTGGATGAGATGAATTGACTCAGTGACTGGGGTAATGGGTATAGGTGTGGCAGAAGCAATAATGTTGGCTCAGGATAGAACAGGGTTCAGAGCTGTTGTACATAGGGTCTCTATGAGTTACAGGTGACTAGACTGTACACAACAACAACAATATATAAATACATGCACATAGAAAATATATAA